TTCCTAAGGTCCCCCAGGTGTCTCTATCATCAAAATGCCTGAGGTTTGCCAAAAGTTTCTCCCTTTAAAATGCCTGGGCTCGTCTTGGAGCCTCTATCATTAGAATGTCAGATGTTGCCCAGTTGTCTCTAATATTAGCATGCCTGTGGTCAGCCAGGGGCCTCTCTCATGAGAATGCTTAGGGTCACCAAGGTGTCTCTATCATTAGAATTCCTGGGGTCAGCCAGGAATCTCTCCAATTTGAATGCCTGGCATTGCCCAGGTGTCCCTATCATTAGAATACCTGGAATCGCCCAGATGTCTTTTCCATTAGAAAGCCTGGGGTCGCCCAGGTGTCTGTATTATTAGAATGCATGGAGTCGTCCAGGAGTCTCTTCCATTAGAATCATTGGGGTCACTCAGGTGTCTTTATCATTAGAATGCCTGACGTCAAACAGGAGTCACTCCCATTACAATGCCTGAGATCACACATGTATCTCTATTATTAAAATGCCTGGGGTTGGTCAGGAGTCTCTCTTATTAGGATGCCTGGGGTTGCCCAAGTGTCCCTCTAATTAGAATGCCTGAGGTCCACTAGGAGTCTCTCCCATTAGAATTCCTGGGGTTTTCCAGGTGTCTGTTTCATTAAAATACCTGAGGTCAGCCAGGAGTCTATCCTATCAGAATGCCTAGGGTCACCCAGGAGTCTCTATTATTGCAATGCCATGGGATGAAAAGGAGTCTCTCCGATTAGAATACCTGGGGTCTTCCAGGTGTGTTTAGCATTAGAATGCCTGCAGTTTGCCAGGAGTCTCTCCCATTAGAATGCTTGGGGTTGCCTTCGTGTCTCTACCATTAGACTGCCTGAAGTAGCCCAGGTGTCTTGCCCATTAGAATGCCTGGAATCAGCCAGGAGTCTCTCTCTATAGAATTCTTGGGATCGCCCCAGGTGTCATTATTATTAGAGTGCCTGGGATCACCCAGGTGACTCTGTCAATAGAATACTCAGGGTTGGTCGGGGATCTCTTCCATTAGAATGCCTGGTGTTACCATTCTGTCTCTATCATTAGAATGCCTGGGGATGGTGAGAAATCTCTCCCATTTGAATGTCTGGTGTCACCCAGATGTCTCCATTATTAGAATGCCTGAGGTCGGACAGGAGTCTCTTCTCCCATTAGAAGACCTGTGTTCGCCCAGGTGTTTCTATCATTACAATGCCTGGGGTTGGGCAGGAGTCGCTCCCATTAGAATGTCTGGCGCTGCACAGGTGTCTCTATCATTAGACTGCCTGAAGTAGCCCAGGTGTCTTGCCCATTAGAATGCGTGGAATTGGCCAAGTGTCTCTCCCATTAGAATGCCTGGGGGACCCAGGTGCCTCTATCATTAGAATGCCTGGGGTTGACCAGTAGTCTCTTCCATTAGAATGCCTGAGGTCGCCCAGGTGTCTCTAAATTTAGAATGCCTTGGGTTGCCCTGGTGTCTCTGTCATTAGAATGCCTGGGGTCAGACAGTGGTTTCCCCTATTAGAACGCCTGGGTCACAGAGGGGTCTCTATCATTAGAAATACAGAGGGTTCCTATCATTAGGAATGCCTGGGTTCAGCCAGGAGTCTCTCCTTTTAGAATGCTGAAGTCACTTCAAGGTGTCCTTTGATTAGAATGCCTAAGGTCGCCCAGGTGTCTCTATCATTAAAATGCCTGGGGTTACTAAAGTTTCTCCCTTTAAAATGCCTGGGGGTCATCCAGGGCCTCTATCATTAGAATACCAGGTGTTGCCTGGCATTAGAACACCTGTGGTCAGCCAGGGGTCTCTTCCATTAGAATGGTTAGGGTCGCCAAGGTGTCTCTATCATTAGCACTCCTGAGGTTGGCCAGGAGTCTCTCCAATTTGAATGCCTGGCATCGCCTGGGTGTGTCTATTATTAGAATGCCTGGAATTGGCCAGGAGTCTTTCTTATTAAAATGCCTAGAATCTTCTAGCTGTCTCCGTAATTATAATTATAATGCCTGGGGCTAGCCAGAATTCTCTTCAATAGGATGTCTGGGGTCTCCCAGGTGTATCATTAGAATGCCTGAAATTGCCCAGGTATCTTTTTCATTAGAATGCCTGAGGTCGGCCCTAAGACTCTCCCATTAGAATGCGCCTGGAGTCTCCCAGGTGTCTCTGTCATTAGAATGCATGGAGTCCACTAAAAGCCCCTCCCATTAGAGTGCCTCGGATTGGCAGGGCGCTGTAGCTCATGCCTGTGATTCCAGCGCTTTGGGAGGCCGAAGTAGGTGGATCACGATGTCAGGAGATCGAGAACAGCCTGGCCAAGATGGTGAAACCCCATCTCTACTAAAAATACAAAAATTAGCTGGATGCATGGTCTTCAGCTGTATTCCCAGCTACTCTAGAGGCTGAGGCAGGAGAATCGTTAGCTTGAACCCAGGAGGCAGAGGTTTTAGTGAGCTGAGATCGTGCTACTGCACTCCAGCCTGGGCAACAGAGCGAGACTCTGTCTCAAAAAAAAAAAAAAAAAAAAAAAAAAAGAAAGCCTTGGGTCACCCAGGTGTCTCTGTTACTAGAATGAGTGGGGTCATCCAGGAGTCTCTTTCATTAGAATGATTGGGATCAATCAGGCGTCTTTGTCATTAGAATGCCTGGTGTCAAACAGGAGTCGCTCCCATTAGAATGCCTGAGATTGCCCAGATGTCTCCATCATTAGGATGCTTGGGGTCAGTCAGAAATCTCTCCCATTAGAATATCTGTGGTCGCCCAGGTTTCTCTATCATTACAATGCCGGAGTTCAGCCATGAGTCTCTCCCATTAGAGTGCCTGGGGTTGCCCAGGTGTCTCTATCATTAGAATGGCTGGGGTCACCCAGGTGTTTCTTTTATTAGAATGCCTGGGGTTAGCCAGTAGTCTCTTTCATTAGAATGCCTAGGGTCGCCCAGGAGTCTTTATCATTACAATGCCTGGGATCCATTAGACGTTTCTTCCATTAGAATGACTGGGGTCGACAAGTTATGACAATCATTAGAATGCCAGGAGTGTCTTTGGTTAGAATGCTTGAGGTCACCCAGGAGTCTCTACCATTACAATGCCTGCGGTCAGCCAGGAGTCTCTCTAATTAGAGTGCCTGGGGTCACCAAGACGTTCCTATCATTAGAATGCCTGTGATCAGCCAGGAGTCTCTTCCATCAGAATTCTTGGGGTTACTCTCTAGATTCCTCCTCTCTGGGCAGGGCATCTCTGAAGGAAAGGCAGCAACCCCAGTCAGGTGCTTATAGATAAAACTGCCATCCCCTTGAAACAGAGCACCTGGGGGAAGGGGCAGCTATGGGCACAGCTTCAGCAGACTTAAAAGTTCCTGCCTGCTGGCTCTAAAGAGAGCATTAGATCTCCTGGCACAGCGCTCAAGCTCTGCTAAGGGACAGACTGCTTCCTCAAGTGGGTACCTGACTCCCATGCCTCCTAATTTGGAGAAATCTCCAAGCAGGGATTGAGAGACACTTGATACAGGAGAGCTCCAGCTGGCATCTGGCAGGTGCCCCTCTGGGATGAAGCTTCCAGAGGAAAGACCAGGCAGCAATCTTTGCTGTTTTACAGCATCCACTGGTGATACCCAGGCAAACAGGGTCTGGAGTGAACCTTCATCAAACTCCAGCAGACCTGCAGCAGTGGGGCCTGACTGTTAGAAGGAAAACCAACAAACAGAAGGGAGTAGCATCAACATCAACAAAATGATGTCCACACAGAAACCCCATCGGAAGGTCACCAACATGAAAGGCCACAGGTAGATAAATCCATAAAGATGAGGAATAAACAGTGCAAAAGGCTGAAAATTTCAAAAACCAGAATGCCTCTTCTCCTCCAAAGGATCATAACTCCTCACCAGCAAGGGAACAAAACTGGATGGAGAATGAGTTTGATGAATTGATAGAAGGAGGCCTCAGAAGGTGGGTAATAACAAACTTCTCCGAGCTAAAGGAGCATGTTCTAACCCAAAGCAAAGAAGGTAAGAACCTTGAAAAAATGTTAGAGGAATTGCTAATGGGAATAAGCAGTTTAGAGAAGAAAATAAATGACCTGATGGAGCTGAAACACACAGCATGAGAACTTTGTGAAGCATACACAAGTATCAATAGCTGAATTGATCAAGTGGAAAAAAAATGATATCAGAGATTGAAGATCACCTTAATGAAATAAAGCGTGAAGACAAGAGTAGAGAAAAAAGAATGAAAGGAATGAACTAAGACTCCAAGAAATATGGGACTATGTGAAAAGACCAAATCTACATTAGATTGGTGTACCTGAAAGTGACGGGGAGAATGAAACCAAGTTGGAAAACATTCCTCAGGATATTACCCAGGAGAACTCCAACACAGCAAGTCAGGCCAACATTCAAATTCAGGAAATAGAACAGCACAAAAATACTCCTTGAGAAGAGCAACCCCAAGACATATACTCGTCAGATCCACCAAGGTTGAAATGAAGGAAAAGATGTTAAGGGCAGTCAGAGAGAAAGGTTGGGTTACACACAAAGGGAAGCCCACCAGACTAACACCTGATCTCTCAGCAGAAACTCTACAAGGCAGAAGAGAGTGGGGATCAATATTCAACATTCTTAAAGAAAAGAATTTTCAACTCACAATTTCATATCCTTCCGAACCAAGCTTCATAAGTGAAGGAGAAATAAAATCCTTTACAGATCAGCAAATGCTAGGAGATTTTGTCACCACTAGGCCTGCCTTACAAGAGCTCCTGAAAGAAGCACAAATATGAAAAGGAAAAACCAGTACCAGCAACTGCAAAAACATACTAAACTGTAAAGACCATCCACACTGTAAAGAAACTGCCTCAACTAATGGGCAAAATAACCAGCTAGCATCATAGTGACAGGATAAAATTCACACATAACAATATTAACCTTAAATGTAAACAGGATAAATGCCTCAATTAAGAGGTACAGACTGGCAAATTGGATAAAGAGTCAAGACCCTCAGAGCCTCTGGGTCCTCGATCGTTATGGTCTCTGCACCTCGTGCCCCAGCAGGTAAACTAACATGGATTTTTCCAAGCTACCCCAAATACTCGAAGATAAAGAAAGCACATTTGGTTATGTGCATGGGGTCTCAGGACCTGTGGTTACAGCCTGTGACATGGTGGGTGCAGCCATGTATGAGCTGGTGAGAGTGGGCCACAGCAAGTTGGTTGGAGAGATTATTCGATTGGAGGGTGACATGGCTACTATTCAGGTGTATTAAGAAACTTCTGGTGTTTCTGTTGGAGATCCTGTACTTCGCACTGGTAAACCCCTCTCTGTAGAGCTCAGTCCTGGCATTATGGGAGCCATTTTTGATGGTATTCAAAGACCTTTGTCGGATATCAGCAGTCAGACCCAAAGCATCTACATCCCCAGAGGAGTAAACGTGTCTGCTCTTAGCAGAGATATCAAATGGAACTTTACACCTTGCAAAAACCTACGGGTTGGTAGTCATATCACTGGTGGAGACATTTATGGAATTGTCAATGAGAACTCGCTTATCAAACACAAAATCATGTTACCCCCACAAAATAGAGGAACTGTAACTTATATTGCTCCACCTGGGAATTATGATACCTCTGATGTTGTCTTGGAGCTTGAATTTGAAGGTGTAAAGGAGAAGTTCACCATGGTGCAAGTATGGCCTGTATGTCAAGTTCTATCTGTCACTGAGAAGGTGCCAGCCAATCATCCTCTGTTGACTGGCCAGAGAGTCCTTGATGCCCTTTTTCCGTGTGTCCAGGGAGGAACTACTGCTATCCCGGGAGCCTTTGGCTGTGGAAAGACAGTGATATCACAGTCTGTATCCAAGTATTCTAACAGTGATGTATAATCTATGTAGGATGTGGTGAAAGAGGAAATGAGATGTCTGAAGTCCTCCAGGACTTCCCAGAGCTCACAATGGAGGTTGATGGTAAGTAAGGTAGAGTCAATTAGGAAGAGGACAGCTTTGGTAGCCAATACCTCCAATATGCCTGTTGCTGCTACAAAAACCTCTATTAATACTGGAATCACACTGTCAGAATACTTCTGTGACATGGGCTATCATGTCAGTATGATGGCTGACACTACCTCTAGATGGGCTGAGGCCCTTAGAGAAATCTCTGGTTGTTTAGCTGAAATGCCTGCAGATAGTGGATATCTAGCCTATTTTGGTGCCCATCTGGCCTCTTTTTATGAATGAGCAGGCAGGGTGAAATGTCTTGGAAATCCTGAAAGAGAAGGGAGTGTCAGCATTGTAGGAGCAGTTTCTCCACCTGGTGGTGATTTTTCTGATCCAGTTACATCTGCCACTCTTGGTATCGTTCAGGTGTTCTGGGGCTTAGATAAGAAACTAGCTCAACGTAAGCATTTCCCCTCTGTCAATTGGCTCATCAGCTACACCAAGTATATGCGTGCCTTGGATGAATACTATGACAAACACTTCACAGAGTTTGTCCCACTGAGGACCAAAGCTAAGGATATTCTGCAGGAAGAAGACCTGGCAGAAATTGTACACCTTGTCGGAAAGGCGTCTTTGGCAGAAACAGATAAAATCACTCTGGAGGTAACAAAACTTATCAAAGATGATTTCCTACGACAAAATGGATACACTCCTTATGACAGGTTCTGTCCATTCTACCAGACAGTAGGGATGCTGTCCAACATGACTGCATTTTATATATGGCTCGTAGAGCTGTTGAAACCACTGCCCAGAGTGACAATAAAATCACATGGTCTATTGTTCATGAGCACATAGGAGACATCCTCTATAAACTTTCCTCCATGAAATTCAAGGATCCACTGAAAGATGGTGAGGCAAAGATCAAGAGCGACTATGCACAACTTCTTGAAGATTTGCAGAATGCATTCCATAGCCTTGAGGATTAGAAGCCTTGAAGATTAGAACTGTGATTTCCTTTTCCTCAACAAGCTCCTATGTGTATATTTTCCTGAATTTCTCATCTCAAACCTTTTGCTTCTTCATTGTGCAGCTTTGAGACTAGTGCCTATGTGTGTTGTTTGTTTCCCTGTTTTTTTTGGTAGGTCTTATATAAAACTAACATTCCTTAGTTTTAGTGTTGTGAAGGGCCTCCCTCTTCCTTTATCTGAAGTGTTGAATATAGTAAATATATATTGTGGTTGCACTACTGTAAACTTGTATGTAGGGTGATGACCCTCTTTGTCCTAGGTGTGCCCTTTCCTTATCTCTATTAAATTGTAAATAGGACTACTGCATGTACTCTCTTTGCAGTGAATTTGAAATGGAAGGCCAGGTTTCTATAACTTTTGAACAGGTACTTTGTGAAATGACTCAATATCTATTGTGGTAAGCTCATTGGCAGCTTAGCATTTTGCAGAGGAATTGTTTTGCAGGAAATATTTAATTTTCAAAAACATAATGATTAATGTTCCAATTATGCATCGCTTCCCCCAGTATAAATCAGGAATATTTGTGAGAAACTATTGGGGACTTTATTTTTATCTTTTATTTATTTTATTTTATTTTTTTTGAGATGGAGTTTCACTTTTGTTGCCCAGGCTGGGGTGCAATGGTGCAATCTTGGCTCACTGCAACCTCAGCCTCCCAGGTTCAAACGATTCTCCTGCCTCAGCCTCCTGAGTAGCTGGGATTATACAGGCATGCTTCACCATGCCCAGCTAATTTTGTATTTTTAGTAGAAACGGGGTTTCACCATATCGTTCAGGCTGGTCTCGAACTCCCGACCTCAGGTGATTGGCCAGCCTCGGCCTCCCAAAGTGCTGGGATTACAGGCAGAGCCACGACGCCCGGCCAGGGACTATACTCTTTTTAAAATAGACATTTGTGGGGCTCACACAATAAATGAAACAGTATCCTCTAAAAAAGAGAAGAAAAGAATCAGGCAGTCAAACTTAGAGCAACATTGTCTTATTAAAGCATAGTTTATTTCACTAGAAAAAATTTAGTATCAAGGACTATTATATACTTCATTACTAGAAGTTCTTTTTAAAATTACATTTAAAACAATCACTGAAAACTTGATCCACATCACACCTTCTTTATTTTCCTTAAACATCTTGTAAGCCCAAGCTTCTGAGAATCATGTGGCGCTACTTCTGTCGCCTTCCCTCTGTCTCTCTCTCTCTCCTTCTCTGTCCCTCTCTCTTTCTCTGCCATTCTGTCTCTTTCCCTCTCCCCCTCCCCTGTCTCTCTCGCTCATTGTCTCTCTCCCTCCCTCAGTTTCAATCTCTCCATCCATCTCTTCCTTGCTCTCCTTCAAGCCGTTCGTGTGTGCGTGCGTGCGTGTGTGTGTGTGTGTCTGTGTGTGTGTGTGCGCGCGCGCGCGCGTTTGGGTTCGCGGGCGCAAGCGCCCTGGTGTGTCTGTGTGTGGGGCTGTGGATTTGCTCCTGGTGGTGGTGGGGTGTGTCTGGTTTTCTCTCAGCCCCTCTCGCCGGGATCAGGCTGCCGGCTCTAGTGCCAGCCTGGGGCAAAGCAGGGCCATCGCCCAACGCCCCACCCCCCACGCTCTCTTGCCCACCGGCCGGGTCTTGGTCGGGACAAGCGACAGTGGTGGGGGCGTTGTGAGAAAAAGGCCACGTGCGGCTGGGTCAGCTTTTCGCCCTTGGCCAGCCCTGATGGCTCTGCGTGGGTGGGGCAAGAGAGGGCCTCGCAGGAGATCCTGAGCCGCCAGGTATCCAAAAGAATACCTCCGTGACAGGGCGGAGGACCAGACGGGGTCCCAGAATCGTAGGCCCTGGGCCCTGACGCCTCGGAGCACTCCCTGTTCCGAGCGGGCCCGACGTGGTGGAAGCTCGGGAGCTGGGGGAAGACCGCGGGCGAATGGCTGGGGGGTCCCAATCCCAGTCCCCCAGTTCCCGGGGTGGCGGGGCCGGATGGAAGCTGGCGGGAATGGCTGGGCAGGGCTCTTGGGGCAGCCAGGCGCCTCTGGGCCATACCACCTTGAATACACCCGATCTCCTCTGATCTCCGAAGCTAAGAAGGCTCGGGCCTGGTTAGTACTTGGATGGGAGACCACCGGGCCATTCCATCCTAAACGCATCGGATCGCTTCTGATCTCGAAGCTAAGCAGGGTCGGGCGTGGTTAGTACTTGGATGGGAGACCGCCTGGGAATATCGGGTGCTGTAGGCTTTTTTGCTTTCTTTCTTGTCTTTATCTCTTTTCTACCTTCCTTTCTTCCCTTCTTTCTCTCTCAATTCTTTCTTTCCTTCCTTCCTTCCTTCTTTCTTTTCTTTTCTTTTTTCTTTTCTTTTCTTTCTTTTCTTTCTCTTCCAGACAGAGTCTCGCTCTGTCACCCAGACTGGAGTGCAGTGGCCCGATCTCGGCTCACTGCAAGCTCCACTTCCAGGGTTCACGCCATTCTCCTGCCTCAGCCTCCCGAGCAGCTGGGACTACAGACACACCCCAGCACGCCCGGCTCATGTTTTGTAGTTTTAGTAGAGGTGGGGTTTCACCTCGTGAGCCAGGCTGGTCTGGATCTCCTGACCTCATGATCCACCCGCCTCGGTCTCCCAAAGTGCTGGGATTACAGGCTTGATCCACCGCGCCTGGCCTGCTGTAGGCTTTTGTGGCTTCCCGCCTCCCTCCCTTCCCCCTACTGTCGAGATGCTTCCCAGCCTCCTCTGACTCTGCTCCCTCTTTATCGCCCCCCCTACACTCAGCCGAGGACCTCCTTCTGGGGGTGCGCCACCAAAGCACCACCCGGCAGCAGCATCCCAGCGCTTCCGCCACACCGCCGCCCCGCCAGGAGCCCGGCTCCAGCCCGGGAGGGCAGGGGGCAGGACCTCAAAGGCGTAGGCGCCGGTTTCCTGCCTTTTGCAGTGCCTTCCCGCTCCCGGAACGCCCAGGCGATACAATCCACTCATCTGCACCACCGCAACCTTCCAAATCGCGGGAAGGGGCGGGCAGGGGCAGCGGGTGCCGCACAGGTCAGCCAAGACCTCCACTCCAGAACGCAGGGGCTGCTTTATCCGGGGGAAGGACATTACTTCGCCAGCCACCAGGGAAACTTTCCCTGTGCACCCAGATTCCCATTGCCACCATCTTCGTGTAAACTCCAGTCCCGAGGACACGCCAGAGACCCAGGCCTCGGGCCCTGTGGGCACGCCCCGTGCCACGGCTCCCGCCAAACGGGCAGGCCTACTCTGCAAATCAAGGGGCCCACCGCACCGCACCAAGAGCACAGGGAGGTGCCAACAAAGGAAGGAGCCTAAGATACCCACCTCCAAAACAAGCAATTAATCCAAGACAACATCCGTATCAGCGCTGCGTTGCTCCTCTCGCATGGACGGCCTGGCCACCCTATTCTGGCCCAGCCCAAGCCCCCTCCACCCTATCCCGGTCTGCTCAAAAGGGGCCTGCCTACCAGAGCAGGGCACTCCCTCTCCAAATCTCTATCGCTCTCGCTTTCTAGCTCCCTCCCCCTCTCTCTTCTGGGTTTGCCCCTGCACGTGGAGATACTTCTGTCGCCTTCCCTCTGTGTCTCTGTCTCTCTCTCTTTCTCTGTCCCTCTCTCTTTCTCTGCCTCTCTGTCTCTTTCCCTGTCCTCCTCCCCTGTCTCTCTAGATGGCTGTCTCTCTCCCTCCCTCGGTTTCAATCTCTCCGTCCATCTCTTCCTTGCCCTACTTCAAGCCGTTTGTGTGTGCGTGCATGTGTGTGTGTGTGTGTGTGCGCGCGCGCCTCAGCCCCTCTCGCTGGGGATCAGACTGCAGGCTCTACTGCCAGCCTGGGGCAAAGCAGGGCCATCCCCCAACCCCCAACCCCCCGTGCCCTCTTGCCCACTGGCAGGATCTTGGTCGGGACAAGCTACCGTGGTGGGGGCGTTGTGAGAAAAAGGTCACGTGTGGCTGGGCCGGCTGTTCGCCCTTGGCCAGCCCTGAAGGCTCTGGGTGGGTAGGGCAAGAGGTGGCCTCTCAGGAGCTACTGAGCGGCCAGGAATCCGAAAGAATACCTCCGTGACAGTGGGGAGGACTGGACGGAGTCCCAAGATCGTGGGCCCTGTCGCCTCGGAGCACTCCCTGTTCCGAGCGGGCCCGACGTGGCGGAAACTTGGGAGCTCCGGAGCTGGGGGATGACCGCGGGAGAGTGGCTCGAGGGTCCCGATCCGAGGCCGGCGGCCCCGGGCTGGCGGTGCTGGCTGGAAGCCGGTGGACGTGGCAGGACCGGGCTGTTGTGGCAGCCAGGCACCTCTGCCTGGGTCTAAGGCCATACCACCCTGAACGCCCCCGATCTCATCTGATCTCGGAAGCTAAGCAGAGTCGGGCCTGTTTAGTACTTGGATGGGAGACTGCCTGGGAATACCGGGAGCTGTGGGCTTTTTTGCTTTCTTTCTTGCCTTTCTTTCTTTTCCACCGTCCTTTCTTCCCTTCTCTCTCTCTCTCCTTCCTTCCTTCCTTCCTTTCTTTTCTTTCTTTTCTTTCTTTCTTTTCTTTCTTTCTTCTTCCATCTTTCTTTTCTTTCTCTCTCTCTGTTTCTTTCCCTCTTTTTTCTTTCTTCTTTCTTTCCTTCTTTCTTTTCTTTCTCTCTCTCTCTTACTTTCTTTCCTTCTTTCTTTTTCTTTCTCTCTTTCTTTCCCTCTTCCTTTCTTCTTTCCTTCTTTCTTTTCTTTCTCTCTCTCTCTTTGTTTATTCCTTCCTTTCTTTCTCTTTCTATCTTTCTTTCCTTCTTTTCTTTCTTTCTTTCTCTCTCTCCTTCTCTTTCTTTTTCTTCCAGACCCACTCTCGCTCTGTCACTCAGGCTGGAGTGCAGCAGAGCGATCTCGGCTCACTGCAAGTTCCGCCTCCCGGGTTCATGCCATTCTCTTGCCTCAGCCTCCCGAGCAGCTGGGATTACAGGAACCCGCCAGCACACCCGGCTCATGTTTTGTAGTTTTAGTAGAGACGGGGTTTCACTGTGTTAGCCAGGCTGGTCTGGATCTCCTGACCTCGTGATCCACCCGCCTCGGCCTCCCAAAGTGCTGGGATTACAGGCGTGATCCACCGCGCCCGGCCCGGCCTGCTGTAGGGTTTTGTGGCTTCCCGCTTCCCTCCCTTCCCCCTACTGTCGCCATGCTTCCCAACCTCCCCTGATTCTGCTCCCCTTTTATCGCCCACCTTCACCCCCGTCACAGCCAGAGACCTCCTTCAGGGTTTCCGCCACCAAAGCACCACCGGGCTGCAGCACCCCACCGCTTCCGCCTCCCGGACGGACGTCCAGCCAGGAGCCTGCCTCCATCCCGGGGGGCGGGGCTGGAGGCCGGACCCCAAAGGCGCAGGCGCGGGTTCCTGGAGCCTTCCGGCTCCAGGAACTGGCAGACGATTCAATCCACTCATCAGACGCCGCCGCAACCTTCCAAACCGGGGGAAGGGGCGGGCAGGGTCACCGGGTGCCACACACGCCAGCCAAGACCTCCACTCCAGAACACAGGGGCTGCTTTATCCGGGGGAAGGACATTGTTTCGCCAGCCACCAGGAAAGCTGTCCCTGTGCACCCGGATTCCCATTGCCACCAACTTCGTGTAAACTGAAGTCCAGAGGACACGCCAGAGACCCAAGCCTC